CCTTCAACCCTGTCCACAGACCAAGCGGTGAGGCCCTTGCCAGCCCTGCCCCACCACGGAGGGGGTACCCTGGACCTGCAAGGGAAGGGCCTGGGACCCTGGAGCTGTTCAGGTGTAAAGCCAAGCTGGGGTGGGGAGCGGAGAGGCTGTGGGAGGATATGCACTTGCAAGGGGTAGTGGGGGAAACTCAGGGCCTGAGCCCCAGTCCTAGGACTTGAGCCCCTGTCCCAGGGTTTGAGCCCCAGTCCCAGGGCTGTGCTTTCTGGGAGGGATATTTGTGCTCAGTGCCTGGGATGCCGGGTCTGGGGCAGGAGGGGCCAGGGAAGGTGCTGGGGGCCTGTCTGAACTGGCAGGCCCGGGATCTTGTTGGCATCGGCCTTGCCTATGTTGGCATGCAAAGGACCTCTTATGTGCACCGGCCGGGAGCATGGCACCTCTTGGGGGCCCAGCGTATGTGCAGGACCAGGTAATCAGCAGGCCTGGGCAGTGCCCGCTGCGTGCCTTGGTGGCAGCTGGTCGCAGAATGGTGGTGGCTCTGGCTTTGCATGGTGCAGGGAGACTGCCTTTTCCTCCGGCTGTAGGGCCCTCTGCAGGCTGGGCCATGGCCTTGGTGAGCACACCCCCGGGTGATGCCCGCCTTAATGGCCAGGCTCGGCTTTCCAAAGGGGGCATGCTGTCGGACTGGGAGTGGGGGGCCTGACGAGAGGGAGGGGAGGTGTCATGTGGTGCGGAGGAGCGCCTGACCTTGTCCTTGTCCTGCAGGGCTCTTTCCTGCCCAGGTCTGAGTGTTGAGGGGACAAACTGGGTGGGGGTGGGGGGGTGGCGTGCTGGGCTTCATGCACACCTGTATGTGGGAGGGAACTGACAGTCAGGATGGACTCTGGCCCCCTCACCCGATTCTGCTTACCAGCTGGAAAATGGGACCGTGGACCCCCTGCTCAGCCTCCTGTGGGGGCGGCACCCAGTCCCGCCCCGTCTACTGCATCACCGTCAGTGGCACAGGGGACCAGGAGGCCATCAACGAGGCCGAGTGCACAGGCCTGCCTGGGAAGCCCCCTGCCACACAGGCCTGCAACCTCCGGCGCTGCGCAGCCTGGCATTCGGAGCCCTGGGGGGAGGTGAGGCCGAGGTGCCCAGGCTGGGATGTGGCTAGGCGGAGAGCAGGAGCAGGGCTTGGGGGCAGGGGCAGGGCTAGGAGGAGGTCCCTGGGCTCCCGGTCCAGTGCTGCTGCGTCTCCTGTGGGCTCCAGGACAGGACAGGAGAGCGAATGAAGCTGAGGCTGTGGCAGGGTGAGGGGCAGCAGCGTCCAGGGTTTCGGGTGCCCACCCACATTCAAGGGGCACAGGAGGGCATGTGGACACACACTCCAGGTGATTTCAGGAGTCATGACTCAGGCTGCGTGATCTCAGGGGACTCACTCAGCCTCTCTGGACCTGCGATCTAGACACAGGCTGCGGGGTACTGCCCACCCTCTGTGCCCAACCTGTCCCTCGGGGGTGGCTCCCGTGGGTAGGGCAAGTTCCTGCTGACAGCCCGGTCCTTGCAGTGTTCGGCGAGCTGTGGCTCTGGCGTCCGGAGACGGACCGTGACCTGCCGGGGCGACGAGGGGTCTGAGCTGCATGCTACAGCATGCCCCTCGGACCAGCCGCCTCTCACAGAACCCTGTGTGCGAGACGACTGTCCCCTTGGTGACCAGGCCTGGCAGATTGGCCCCTGGAGTCCAGTGAGTGCCCCTCACGCCCCCCACCCCCACACACCTGGTGTCCGGCCTGCCTGTGTGTCTCCGTGGGGCTGACATGATGGGAGTGGGTCTTGGTGCCCCCTTTTGCCTTCCTAGTGGGCTCTCCCAGCCCAGCCTCCGGGGTTTTTCTCTCTGCATGTGTCTTCTCCCCACCCCGTCCCCGCCCCATGGGCCCAGTGCTCCACGAGCTGTGGCTCAGGCACTCGGGAGCGGCAGGTCCGCTGTGCCCTGGGGCCACCCAGCTACTGTGAGAGCCTGCGGCTGCCCAGGCCCGCGGAAACGGAGCGCTGTCACACCCAGCCCTGCCGCCCAGCTCAAGGTGAGCACCTGGGGCGGTGTTGGCTCTCACACTCTCCCCCCCCCTCCCCCTTCTCCCCATACTACCTCAACGGGCACTGGACTATTGAGGCCGCCGGGGCCCTGCCTGTGGCCAGCACCATCTTGCAGTACGAGCGTGGCGCCGAGGGGGACCAGGCCCCCGAGCGCCTCCATGCTCGAGGTCCCACCTCCGAGCCCCTGGTCATTGAGGTCAGCTGGGCTGCAGGGGTGTGGGAGCCTGTGCTCCCCAAGGTCTTGGGGGTTCCTGGGGGCCTGAGCCTGGCATTGGAGGGGCTGTGGGATGAGGGAGGGGCACCCAGCTGGTCGCAGACCGCAACAAGGACCCCTATCCAGTTCATCAGCCAGGAGGCCAACCCGGGCGTGCACTACGAGTACTACCTGCCCCTGGGCTTCGCCGAGCGCGGCTTCGGCTGGAGCCACGGCTCCTGGGGCGACTGCAGCGCCGAGTGTGGAGGAGGTGAGGGCCCCGCCCACTCCACCGCGCGTCCAGTTTGTGTGAGAGACTC